ATTAGATTTATCTATTATTTGAATGCCATAGCTATGTTTAATGCATCTATGAACTTAATGTTATAATATCTTTTGTTTGCATTTGTTTGGTAGTAAAATTATTTGGAGAGCTTAATATGTGTACTCTCAATATGAGCCTATTATTGTTATCATTTTTCTATCAATAGTTTGTCATCATAAAAAATGGGGAGAATGTTGACCCTATGTGTTTTAATAATAACCCTAAGTGTGTAGCTGCAATGAAACTATCCTCATTTTAGTTTAATAAGTATGAAGAAGAAATCATTTACATGAGGCAAGAAAGGACAATTAACAATCCTAACTTGAACTTGACAAAGATAATGAAAAATCATTTACATTACGTAAGGAAGAGCAGTTAATTCTTATGATGCAGTGAAGACACTTCAAGACTCTCCAAAGATGTTGATGCTTTAAATGACAAAATGAAGATATCAAGCATCATCTACAAAGAAAGATTTGCTATCGAAGGATGAAGAAAAAGAAGACATCAAGCTCCCATGTGCTTAACTTGTTTTCCTCTTTTTAGGGCTTGGTGTAAACCGGGTGCAAGGTATACAACAGGGTCTGAAATGAAAATATACTCGGTTAACCAACCTTAGAGACCAAATGGCTAAAGTTGAGTTTGGTTCTTGGGCTTTCTTAGACTTAAGCTAATGAGTGTAAAAAATCACGTTAAAGCCTAAGAAATTGATTCCTAAGCATTTGAAATGAAAATCACTAAGGTTGGAGCTATCAAAGTAATGGACTACTACGAGAAAGTAGTAGACTACTTTACACAGTAAAATGTTGTGAATAGTGAAGTAGTTGACTGCCCAGAAATGTATAGTCAACTACCCTTGGCAGTAGAGAGCAAAATCACTACATTGTTGACTACCCATGAACCTATAGTCGATTACTCTTGACAACAGTAATTTGAGTATTATAATCAGCTGATAGTTATATTAGTTGACCAATACATGAAGAAAACTTCTCACGTGACTTCTATTTGATCTTTTGAGCTTCAATGACTGTATCCTCATTGGGAAATGATTGAAACAAGTTTAGAAATATTTGGAAATTGTACCAATAGAGGATTAATGAGCTCCAACATTCAAATAATGGTAAAAAATGACTACATTCTTGTGCCTATAAAAATCTGTAAGAAGAATAATGAGCAGACTTCAATGTAGATTTCAAGGGTTTTGGCAAAGAAGATGAATGGGAATCATGTGCGATCAAAAGAGTTCATCTATTGGTTTCTCCATTGAGTTGAAAGAAAGAAAACCCTAGTGCGTCAAGGTTGAAGAAAGCCCTCATTTCAGCCCCAGCTCTTCATGGTATTATCTCACATCTTAGGTTAGAGTTTGAACTTGTATTTGTTCCATCAGCTTACTGAGAGGCATATCTATGTATCTGAGCTTAAATGTCATATCTTATGTAAGAGAGTGGTATTCAAGAATGAGAACACTAGACCTTGATATTCTACCAAGTTAGGTCTGACAAACACTTGTGAAGTTCTACTGAACTTAGGCAATACTCAGAAGCCTATCCAAGGTTGTAGGAGCCTTGACAAACCTACAGTTGTAAGGTTTTGTTGGCGTTTAGAAAGTCCATTTGGTTAATTTCGTAGGAATTCTTGGTGGTGGTGTAGAGGACATAGGTAGGGCTGGTGTAGTTAACGGTTTCTTCCCAGCTAGCAGGGGTTTGAGACAAGGTGACCCCATGTCACATTTCCTATTCACTTTAGTTGCTGATGCTTTTAGTAGACTTCTCTCAGAAGCGGATAGGGCCGGATCCTTGAGAGGGTGGAGAATAGGTAGAGATAGAGTTTCAGTAACCCGTCTTCAATTTGCAGACGACATAATAATCTTTTGTGAAGGTTGCGATCTGATGGAGGTAAGAAATCTTAAGGATTTGATAATTCACTTTGAGAGGGCCTCAAATTTGAAGATAAATTTTGAGAAAAGTTGTGTTGTGGGAAAAATTTGAGTAGAGAGGAGATGGAGTTTATAGCAGCCTCGTTAGACTGCACTTGGTCTCAGTGGCCTCTATCCTACTTAGGACTTCCCTTAGGCGCAAATCTGAAGGAAAGTAGGTTCTGGAACCCGGTGGTGGAAAAGTTCGAAAAAAGATTGACAACTTGGAAGAGAAACTATATTTCCCTAGGGAGTAGAGTTACTTTGATTAAAGCAACTCTAGCCAACTTGCCTTTATACTTCTTGTCAGTCTTTAGAATTCCTAAAAGAGAGGCAAAGAGGTTGGAAAAACTGATGAGGGACTTCTTATGGGAAACTGGGGAAGAGAAAAAAGATCACTTGATTAGGTGGGAGGTGGTGAGTAGAAGCAAAAATGAAGGAGGTCTACGCTTAGGGAATGTGGTGAGTAAGAACGAAGCTCTTTTAGGTAAGTGGCTTTGGAGGTGGCCCTTGGAGAGGGAGAGGTTGTGGCATGAAGTAGTGAAAAGTATCCATGGCTGTTCTGAATCAAGTTGGGGCGCGGAGGTATCCCGAAGGGCTTTGCTCACAATACCTTGGAAGGCTATTTATGGCATTCTCCCAAAGTTCCTTAGACTTGTAAGGTATGATGCTTGTTTTGGAAACTCCATTCTTTTTTGGGAAGATATTTAGGTGAGCGCTCAACCCCTAAAAGACCGTTTTCCTTCTCTCTATTCCATCTCCCTCTTTAAAAAGAAACCAATTTCATGGGTTCTTTCTCCCCCGTTTCGTCCTTTGGATTTAAACTGGAATTTTGGGTTTCGAAGAGGTTAAGGGATGAAGAACTTCTTTGTGTTTCAAAGCTCTTGTTGCTTCTAGACTCAGTGTGCCTGGACCCCCCTAACCTGGACAAAAGGGGTTGGTTTCTAACCTCGGTTGGCTCCTTCACTTGTGCTTATTTCTTTAAAGCCCTCTACTCCAATCCATCCTCTCAGGTGTTCCATGTTAAAGAGGTCTGGTCAATGCCAATTCCTCCTAAAATAGCAGTGTTCTGTTGGGTAGCCTACTTGGGTAAGATCAATACGGTGGAAAACTTGCGAAAGAAGAAACCTTACTTGTGTTTGTCCCCAAACTGGTGCTTCTTGTGTAAAGTGAAGGGTGAGGACTGTAACCATTTACTGATATCGTGCTCTTTTGCTGCCAATATTTGGAATTGGGTTGTTGCACTATTTGGGTGCAGGTGGAAGTTGCCCTCCGAAATAAAGCTGCTGTTCATTCCGGCTGCCTTTGGGAGATTGACAAAAAGAGGGAAGCTAATGTGGAAATGTATCAGAGCCGCTACCTTGTGGACTTTATGGGAGGAGAGAAATGCTAGAATATTTCAAGAAAAGGAAAGAAGTCTTCCTGAAATTAAGGAATGCATAATGACAAGAACAGTCTCGTGGCTAAAATCTTCACACTTGTTGGCAGATTACTCCTTTGATGACTTAAGGAGAAACTGGGCAGCAGTGGCTTCTACAGTCCTGACAAAGAACAAATCACAAGCTGAATGGGAATCCCCACCGGATGTAGTGGTAAAACTGAATTTTGATGGTAGCTGCCAAGGTAACCCAGGGCCATCTGGAATAGGAGGGATTTTGAGAGACAAAGATAGCAACATGTCTTTATTTTCAGGACCAGTGGGTGTTGGTGATTCTGTAAGGGCAGAACTAGCAGCAGTACAAGGTATACAGATGGCCAGCCAACTTGGAGTGAATAATTTGATAGTAGAAGGGGATTCCAAGGTAGTAGTGGGCTGGTTGACAAGCCCAGAGACAGCTTGTTGGGGCTACAGGGATCTGTTAAAGGAAGTTAAATGGCTGACAAGGAATATGTCAGTCAGGTTTCAGTGGGTCAGCAGATCAGCAAATGCAATGGCTGGTTCTTTGGCCAAGCAAGGGGTGTCAAGGGGAGATATGTTTTGGGCCACTTTGTAACTGTATTTCAGGCTTGTGTTTGTTTAGTGTTTATGACTCAGTCCTAGGGGGAGGTAACACCTCGTGCCTCTTCCAAGGCTGAATGTACTACTATTTTTTGAATTAATAAAACTACTCTCATTTATCAATAAAAAAAAACCTCTATAAAAGTTTGTGTATTGTCTCTTTTTATTTCTTTGTGCTTCACTTCATTTTTGTTCTCAACTTTCTATAGTTATCTTTCTTTGTATTTCACTAAATATAGTACATTTGCATAGAGAATGTGTTTGCGGCTATTACTTTGCTACTTTATTCATTTGCTTTTGATAATTATTATATGTTGTCACTTGCATCTATACTCTGCAGTTATTTGGGCCTATTGCTTACATACCGTACTCTCCTATAGTCAAAGGCATGAAAATGCCAGACAAAATGTTGTAGTCGACTAATCCTAACATGCATCGTTGACAACCTGTGACAGTTGAGACATAGAATGCTAGTCTGTGAGATGTAGTTGACTACTCCAAAATGTGTGGTTGGCTATCTGTGCCAGTAGATGCATGAACTACCAATTTGAGCAATGCAGTCAATTAATCCAAAAATGTATTGTTGACTACTTGTGATAGTTGAGGGATACAAACACATACACTAAGCCTTCATTTTGATGCATTTAGTTCCAACCATTCAAAAAGGCTTAGACTTCTCCAAGATTTAGGTAAAGTTTTAGGGCTTACCCAAGTCCCCAAGTCACCCCCCCCTTTAGTCGAAGGACCTGGGCATCACAAGATTTGAGTTGAAACCTGAAAGAATTAAAGATGAATACCTAAAAGTTTTAGGCAGAGAATAGCATAATCCAAATATGAAAACGAGGCAAAACGGGCTTCAGCATAGGCCTCCATGAGCCTAGGCCTGCCTAAGTTTAAATGGATTTGACCCATGGCCTAAAAGTCCAAGTGTATTGAGTCCAATTAAGCCCTTTTTTCTCTTTTTCTTACTTTTTTTTTGGTATGTTTTCTCTTTCTCTTAATACTAGTGTTATACTTGGTTTGCATATAAATTATGATTTAGGGTTTATATAGAGATTATGGTTCACATTAATCTCTCTGTTCAGGTCTTTGGTGATAAAGCATGTGAAAAATTTGGCAAGGGGTTCATCTCCATGCATTTCTCTGATCAACACCCAAGCACGCATAGGAAGATGCTTTTATTCAAATTTGCTCTTCCAGACGCTCATCACATGGCTGACATAACACGACTGATTGCACTTGTACCTTACTACATTGACTTAATCGGGCGGTATAAAGTCAGCTCACAGGTAGGTTGGTTGCTCTTTTCTCAGGATGCAACATAATCTAGTCTTCTGTTTGTTCTGGTTCATGATTTTAGCTCCTCTTCATGCAACTGCAGGTCCGCTCTAAAACAGAAGCAGCCAGGGCAAAAGCCGCCCAAGAGGCATACAAAGAGCTCATGAATGCTAGGCAGGAAGCATTGCAGAAGAGAAAGGCAGAGAAAAAGAAGATGATGGAGGAGGCTGAGGCGAAATTCGGTGCTGAAGCTCTTCGCAAGAAAGAAGCAAAAGAACGTGCTCGTCAAACGAAGAAAACTATGCCTAAAGTGAAAATGACCCGTGCTCATTAGTCCTCATGTTGTGCCACTACCAGTGTAATGCAAAGGCTCAGAAGTTCTCAATTGATTCTTTGTTAGGGCTTCGATAAGTTATCTGACCCCAAATCAAAAATAGCATTTTAGCCTAAACCTTGACGTTTAATTGTTGTACGAGAATGGTACATTAGCCAGTGCTTAAGGAGAATGGAAATGTTGAGTTTAACCCCCACCTCTCCCTCTCTCTCTTAGTCTTTGGTTAGAAAATTTGAGTTTTCGTTCCACGCAAATGTATATAATTTATGTTGGCTTGGCCCTTGACCCAATCCAACTAATCTAATTTATACCACAGAGAGTCAAAACGGGTCAGAAAATGCGAGGTTTGCAAATATTGATCATTGGGGGTGGGGTGGGAGTGTAGGGGTGCTGACGGTATTCCAAAATCCAATTTCAAATTCGAGATTTGATATAATCAAATTAAATTTGGATATATAAATATCATAATCGATTGGATTCGGATATTTTATTCATACTCGTTAAGTAATAGAATTGAATTTGAATATGATCTCATTCGATTCGATAAATATCTGAATTTGATTGATTATTTAATTCTTATAATATAATATATAAAATATTTAAATATTTTATATAATTTATATATATATAATTAAATTATATAAATAATTTATATATTTTATATAAATAAAATATTTATTTTATACATTTATTAATTATCTAAAATAATTAATTGATTGAATTCGAATTCAGACATTGATTTTTAATATCCATCGAATATTGAATTTTCTAATTGAAATCAAATTCAGATATTGTCTAATTCAATTCGTATTCAATCCATTTACACCTGTAGGGGATTGGGAGTTTTGAAAATGGTAGAATGATTTTATAGAGTAATAGTACATTTATCAAAATTTTATCGAGTAGTTTTACTAGAGTAATAATACATTTATCAAAATTTTATGGAGTAGTTTTACCCAAGGATCAAAATATCGATACGCTTGATACGCTGCTAGGGGCGTATTGGGCCATATCGGTAATTTTTTTACTTTTTTTTATTTTTTTCAAATCCGGTTCAGGGGGGCCGATTTAAGGCTCCTCCACCCCCTGAACCGGTTAGAACCCTGATACACCCCCTGTAGGGGCGTATTGGGGAGCTCCCGAAACGATACATATCGGCCAATACGTATCATTATTTTGAACCTTGATTTTACCAAAAAGTATTTATAAAGTAATGGTAAATTTTATTAGAAAAAATTAAGACGTAAAAGGGTTCTTACTAGTGATGTAAATGGTATCTGAAAATCGGATCAAATTCAAATAATCTGAGATGGACAATTGAGGAATTTTGCAATTGGTGATAATATTGAGAATACACCAAGAAAAAGGGATAGGGAGATTTCACAATCTACTTTGTTAGAGCGTGCCTTTACAGAACCCAGATTTCATGATCTCCGAGTTTTGCAAAGGCACGATTTACTTTGTGTGGTCTTTTTTTTTTTTTTTTTTTTTCCTTTTTTCACGGGATTTCACAATATGCGAGTGATAATGATATTGTCATGAATCTATCTGCCAAAAGCATAAACAATTTGCATGATAGATATAAGTTTACCAAGGACCTGCCAAAATCTGTTTTTTTTTTTTTTTCTTTTTTTTTTTTTTAACTTTAGCGAGGATTTTGTAAGAGACATTACAAAAATTAGCAGAAGGCTCCAAACCATCTTTTTTCTAGTGTAAGCACTGAATGCGTGTTATTTGTTCTTGGTGGCATGGAGAATCTATGATATCAAAAAAAGTTTTGACCAATCAAAACTTACACATAAATTTTGATAAATACCATCTGATTGGTTAACATGTTTATGATACTGGTAGATTGGTCATGAGTTTTTGAAATATCATGTATTTCCAATATCATACTCGAACCCGTTTGAAAATGTCCTAAATGAAAGAAATGATATTTGGGCCCATAATGTCCCATGTAAATTGGAAAATTCTTACAGTAATTTTTGAAGAGGCATGCAATTTGGGCTTGATAATTAATCCATTCTCCAACCCGAGTTTTAATTCATTAAATGTGTTTCTTCTTTTTTTTTTCTTCATTTTGTAGCATACAAATGAAAAAAGAAAAAACTAGAGTTTGGCCCTTGGCTTCTAGCATGAACTTACTCCCTTTGATGGTCATGTTTTCTGTAGCTAATATAGCAAGAAACCACTTTGGGGAAGTTATTGATGTAAAAGATTATAATCTTGGAGTTACATCTATCAGTGTTGCAGATGCTTGGGTTGTTTGGATAGCCCACAATTAAATTTCAAAGATTATCTTGTTGTCATAGAGGGATATTCAAAGCTTGTGATCATTTGCTTGCAACAGAGGACAGCTCCATGTAGAACCTCTCATAAGCATCATTCAAGATTGTGGAGATTGGTTTCTATTAAGGGCAAATATCTTAAACTATCCCTACTGTTTAGCTAAAAGACAAACCGTATCCTTATTATTTAATTATTGTCTTCAACATCCCCTATTGTTTCTAACAATTGACTAACTCTATCCTTAATATTCCCTCAAAATCCATACACACGTGACAGTGTGACACCACATGACGTATAAGACTTTTAAAACCCAATAATGCCCTTCATCCCTCTGTCCCACCAGAATCACACACTCGTTCGAAACCCTTTTCTTTCCCCTCTTTCTCCTCTCCCTCTTCTCTACCGTAGCAAGGTGCAGAATAGGAATTTGGGTCCGCTACAACCTCCGTCTTGTGCATCATCGTCTTGTTTCGAGTGGGAAAGAAGTTGCAGTTAAATAGCTCAAAGCTGGTAGTGGGTAGGGGGAACGTGAATTTGAAGTGGAAGTCAAGATTATTAGCCGAGCACATCAAGCGGCAAATTCACAAGTAAATCAGATGTTTTCTTTTTGGAGTCGTATTGATGTAGTTGATTACTAGGTGCCGACCCATTGATACAAGTCAAACCTTCATGGATGATAGCTTGGTGGACTGGGCAAGACCATTGCCTACACGATCTTTAGAAGATGACAACTATGACACTCTTGTTGATCCACGGTTAGAAACTGATTATGACCAGAATGAGATGACACATATCGACCCTTTTGATACAGGTTCAACGGTGGGAGAAGAAAACTAAAAGAGGGGCTGTGTTATATGGAGATTAAAGACCCCTTTCTTGGATCTGGGTCTAAACGTATAACCCCGGTGAGAGAATCTCCCCTGATTGCCCACGTGGTATGGTATGAACAGCCAGCAGCGGGAGAAAAAATGGATAGGAATTGGGATTCTTTTTGATTGAGTTTTTCTGAGCATTCGGTGAAAGAGAACTCGAATAAAAAGAAACTGCACCATTTTTGGTGGTTTAGTTCAGAAGTAGCCACCACTGCCTCCGCCATTTTTGAAATAAATAAAGACCGAGAGCAATACCAATCTATTGTTGTTTTGAGCATTGTGTATTACTGGAACGGAGAGGGAAAATAAATGTAAGCTTCGAGAAACTTATGGGCGGCTCAAAGTAATGGAGTCGCCATCCCATTTTTTAAAGGAAATGGGCCATTTTCAAAAATTAATTTATTTGCCTTGATAGTTACTTTGTTGTTTTCCAGGAGAGACGCATAACTGAGAGATTTTGGATCCTAAGGTTTGGGAGAGGGAAGGTATTAAGCACCCTTCTCTCCAAACTGCCATAGCAGCCCAATATGGGAGTTGCTCAGGCTCAATTTCTAACGGAAAACAACAAAAATGATTATTGGAATTTCTGAAATCTAGAGAAACCTACTCTCGATTTCTCTTGAGACTGATTTTGAGGTGATATTATCGGGCCTTAGATACTAATTTTTGCTTCTTTGTTTCTATTCTCAATTTAGAAGAAGTTGAAAATGCAAGTTCTTCTATGTTTTAGAACTTCAAGCAACCCAGAAATCAAAACTTGAGCTAAAAGATGATGTGAGAGGCTTACCTCTCGTATGTAACCTTGTCAATGGTAGTCCAACAATCGAATTGATCAAAAGAATAGTTAAATGGGCTCAATAGTGGTTTGAAATGATTGAATGTTTGGAGATTTTCTGCAAATTTCAGATTTGAAACATAGTGGACAGATTTGGAGTTTTACAGAGATTGAGTTGAGAATGGGGGTTCTATAGAGGTTGGAGAATGCTTTTGAGATTTTTGCTCTTTCTTTCCTCTCTCCAGTTCACCTAAGGTCTTCCCCTCCCCTAGTCCTCTTAAGCTCGAGTTGAATCAGTATTTATAAAGAAAGGAAGGGGGAGAGTTTTGAAATTAGTCCAATCAAAAAGCTTGGGCTTCAAGAGAGCTTTTACAAGAAAAAGGGCAAGGATTTTTTAAAGAAAAAGGTGTTCAGTCAAGTTTTCCTTTTTGGTGAAAGATTTTCTTTGATTTGGGGTGGGTTTCATGGGTTTTGTGCGTCCAATAGGAGCTTGGGGCATGCTTGTCATGGCAGTCTTGTATTTGGGGCAATTAGTGGAAGAAAATGTAAATTTGGTCAATTTACAAAAGCTATTTTGTCTTTTCTTAGTTTTAAGTGGGGGTATCTTTGTGTTTTTGGGCTTTTTGGGTCTATTAGGCTCAATTTCATTGGTCCAAGTGTTTGAACATGTCAATAATGGGTCTGGCATCAATAGGGGAGGCCACGAGCCAAGCTTCTCACAAGTTATTTGAGCTCGGCTCATGAAAAGCTCGGATCGACTCGATTTAAACCGAGCTCGAGCCTGATATATAGGCCCGTTTGCTAATCAATCTAGTTGAGCTTGAGCCTAGTGAAGCAGCTCGTGAGGCTCGCAAACCTAGTATAATAAATAAATGTTTTTTTATTATATACATACATACGTACATACATACATACATACATACATACATACATACATACATACATACATACATACATACATACATACATACATACATACATACATACATACATACATACATATATATATATATACATATAAATGAAGGATGGGAGATTCATCATAAGGATGGCCGAACCCTATAGGAAGGTTGGGCGAAATTTCAAAAATTTCTTTACTCCCATCTAGGAATCCTATTCCCAATTTAGAAAACTACACTTTCAAGGTTCGTTCTTCTAACCAAACCAGACCAAATTTGAAACCAAATTAAGGGAGGGATATACCTGATACGGAATCTACACAAGAATGCTCCTCCCAATGTAAGTGTTCATGCTCAAAGA